ATCAGCTTGTTGATGCATTAAGCCAAGACTGCCTTCTTCTAAAGCTGTATCATATCCACGTGTGAGCTAAGCTTTACCTATGGGTGCACCTCCAGATATTCTGACACGTACACTGAACGGTCGGTTGACTCTTTCGGTAGACAAAGAGGGGAAAAAACTTTATAACCATTAGAATGTCGTTCTTCTGTACACTTTCACTCTGTACAATTTCATGCCACTTCTTTTTATCAGTGAGTGCCTCGTTTTAAATGTAGAATTGACAGCCGCTATGTTCTCTTTTTTGCCACAGAGTGATACTCGGCTATTAACATCAGAAGAAAGAAAGGCAAGTGTACCGACCAAGGCTCGAACCAGAGATTTTTTCATTTTGAGTCGGGCGCTTTAGTTCAGTGAGTAATGCCAGAGTCGGTGGAAGGCGGGCATGAGGAAATAACCAGTCGATTTCAAGTATAGCACCTATTAACGGTAATACCGAAAACAAGCAGAGCCAGATGAAAGTAAAAATGCTTATTTTTATGAGCTTCTCAGAAAAAAATAAAACAAGAAGTTAACGACAGGTCATAAAAACAATTATGCAAACGCATCAGTCCACAAAAATGTACAAAACGAAATAAAAACAAAACCTCCGCAAATAAATGAAAGTAATCAGACATCGTAAAGAAATAAAAAACAAGTTTCGATGAAAAAAACAGAATTAAACTTCGACACGGAGCGAAGATTGCCTGGACTTTGCTTGAAATTTCGGTCGGCACGGTAAAGTCGAGTCAGGGCAAGAAGGTCGACCGAGTGAAACAATCCGAACTGGAAATCAAAATGTAAAAGAAACAGCGTTAAAACGCAATTTCATCACAAGAGGCACGCATGCAATCTGATCCTGCCGCTGTCCAATCAGCGAGCGCGGCCAAAAGCAATGGAACCTGGTCACAAGGTCGGTCAAGCCACTGGTCGTCATTAGCTACGTCGCTGGTCCCTCGGTAAAGCCGACAGCACAAAATTCAACAATTCGTACTTGTCTACACCTTCCATGGTAAAATTAGGTACGTGGTCACAGGAGGAGGTGACTTCTTTGGCCATACGGTGCTGATCGTCCACCGTAAATTCTGCGTTTTCCTCTTCCGCTGCCGAATGCTGCGGCAAAATCGTGCTGGTGCTAGTAACAGCGTTGCCGGAACTAAACCGACCCAATAAAGTTAAGCAAACAAGTTGTTTATTTTTTAATGTTCATAGGTCAGTCATGATTTCAGTGCTGAAGTACGGATAGGAAACATGAACCACAGGCTTGAAAGCTCTCAGCATGCCAGAGGCCAGAGATAACTGCCAAATTTTCCTGTTTGATACCATACTACAATGAGACAACTGAAGAGAGATTTATTCGCGAGGAACCTTACCAATGCTCTTTGGTCTTGTTACGGATTGGGTGATGAAACAAAGGAATAAGCGTTGACAATCTCAATGGAGAAGGATTAACTGATTAAGTTAATGACAGAGCCTAAGTTACCTGCCATAAAACTCATGGACGTCGACTACACAGAAGACATACTATTTGATTATTTGAGACGCCATTCAAACAGGCCTTAGACTCAATCGAAAAAATGAAAGTAATAAGGTAATTAAGAAATCAGAGGGAACACAAGAAACTGATCTCTGTTCGCACGGAGAAAGACTGGAAAAAGCTGACTAGTACAAATATCTTGGGGTTCTACTGTTCGGAAGAACGATGGTCGCTATGACATGGAGATGTATAAAAGGATTGTTTTAGCAACATTTTGAAGCATAGCGAAAATCTGGTATCATCAGGACATCCAGTTTGCGACAACAACGAAAGTGTTCCCGCTATCTGTCATCTCAATCCTGTTGTACGGCTATGAAACAGTGGTCCTGCAACAAACTGTCCAAGCGTTATACAATAACTGCCGACGCCACATCGTCAAGTTTCGCTAGGTTCAACGAGTGATCAACCAGGATATACTAGCAAGAACTGCAAACTACTAAAATGATGTTTACTGCTAGACGAGCGACGAATTTTAGGAACATCGATTCGAGGTAGATATGTAATCAGTTAGGAGCAGCTCCTTCGAGGATTAAATAGGACATGCATAAGCACGAATCATCATTGGCTGAAGAATTGCAGTCATGCAGTAGAGCTCAACTGACGACGAGACACGCAATGCGACTACAGACGTCCGGCTGATGAATATCAGAATTCGTAGCGCGTGGAACCTTTGAATCATTCTAACACACAACTGCTGCGAATAGTATAAAGTTAATGAAGCTGAAAGGCTGATAATACTAGAGTTTGGAGGTCGTTGATGCCAGTAACGAAACTGCAACATCTTAACGTCACGTCTTCCTTTAGCACTACTACGATTCAAGTGCATAAAAATACGTTTTCTCATGAATAGTCATAAACTGAAAAAATGTATCGGCTAAGGAGTAAACGAAAAATGATAGAAGAGAGGAGCTTACTTGTTACGTTGCACCTGCATTCCAATAAAAGCTTCTTTGCATGACCTGGTCTTCGGTGGGACGGGAGGCACTCTAAGTTTGTCGGCGTCGACCACCGCGTGGCTGTCAGCAACGCCGGCTTGAGATTTGAAACAGCGAGGAGGAAGAGGAGGAAGGTCTGAGGAAGTGGACGAAGCGGAAGTCTCGCTTGGGGCCGAATCGCTACCATAATCAGAGTTCTTCGATGGCAGCTGCTCGTTTTTCAACAGCAGCACCTCAGACGAATCGGTGGCGCGGCCTCGACCGCTGTTTCGGAACCGCCGAACCAGGGAGGTCCCGTCGTTCCTCAACAATCGCAGCGGACTCATCCCGGCCTCCTCTTCGGCCAACTTCTCCTGACAGATACCGGCGCGCTTTTCTGACAAGGAAGTTTTAACGGGAGCACTGACGCTTGAATGCTCTACAATTTTTACCGAGCCATGGCATTCGATCAGACTTTTGTAGGCCTGCTTCGCCTCCTCGCTCAGCTCAATGCCTTCCTTTGGAGGTAGCCGAGAGCAGAACGTGTTCTTTTCTGATTCTTCGAAGCTAAAAAACAAAATATAAGTTCATACATGCATATGAAAATCACAATTTACTTATAATAAGGCTTGTTTACGTAACATGACACCAGCAGATGCTAAGTGTTAGTTTTCAGCCGCTAACTCAACGGAAAAAATATAAAACGCTAAAGAGGCATACACTCAATGTGTACGATAATAAGTAAAGGAGTTTAAATAGAGACACCATACTCAGGAGAAGAACGAACAGGAGATTTAACTCGACCGCCAAAATCAAGCGAGTAAACGATGAACGTAACAACTGACTTACAGTACGTTGAAGTTTGAGCTGGGATAAGGACACAGAACGATTGAATGCCTAGCCTTCTTCACTGGCAGCGAATTATGCCATCGAATAACGAATGAGCAGGATTCGAGAGAATTTTGCAGCCAAACGAATCTACAGCCAAAAAGAAGTTTTATCGCTGGTCATGAGATACTTCGTGTCATTCAACTGGTTCAGCAAATTGGATTGATGCTGCGGCTCCAACGACGGCATCGTACTCGAGAAGAATCTTTGTCTATGGTATTGAAGGTAGGACAAAAACCAGGAAGCTGTGGATGACAAAAATGGCCCTCTCCAGGAAACTAGGTGCAAGGGGACGATGCAACGCGCCGTTAAATTTGGTCTCGAAGGAACTATTCGTTATTTAACCTCATCTCACCAGTAAAGAACATTTTTATAGGCTTAGTACTTGATGTACTTTAAAAATAGTAATAACTATTAAACAATCACACTTAGCATTCGAAGACAGAATGACAATCTTTGATGTAGTAGGCAATTGTAGGGGGCCACCAGCAATCTCGAAAGCTTAAATATCTTCATCTGT